AAAAATATAACTCCTCAGAGCGGAATAGTCCTTTCATGGCTTTAAAATTTGCAAGTGTGTAATCACATTATTTTAATAAATGTAACACAAGAAAATATTTTACTTTTATTTTTGCCACTCCGAGTTTAGTTTTGGAACTCACCCGCGATGCAGAAATACATCGTTAGATTTAATCTTCACATTTTTTGATGAGCTTTGGGAATGTTAGAAATGACAATCAGGGGGGTCCACCGAAACCAGTAAAGTTGTGAAAGGGGTCTACGAAAAAACTAAGTTTGGGAGCCTCTGGTGTAATTTATTCATAAACTATTTATTATAAAAAAATTATGCAGGCAATTAAACTAGGACCGCCGAATTGGCGAATATACCGGTCTTCGTGGTCCGTATAAAATAAATATAATACAAATGAGGGTATGCGTTAAAAAGAACAACAGTAAAACAAAAGCTTTGTGGATTTTCAACTCATTCAATTGGATAGTTAAATACATATGTTCTAAGAAAACAAAAAATCAACCTATATTTATAAACTAGTATTACTTTTGGTTTTCACTACTCACCGATAATTATACTAAAAAACTGTTCGATGATGCTGAGTGCTACATTTTCGTATAAGAAATAAGTCAGCTTAACTTTGAAGCCCTTGATAAAATTAATGGTATTTGTGTGCGAGTCAGCGTGTGTGTGACTGAAAATCTTCTTCAACCAATTGATCACAGTGTCATCGAGCCACTAGAAATATACGTAAAAGAAATCGTCAAACCTTTGCACTGCAAGCATCCTTAATATATTTTAATCTTAATAATTTTATAAATAGTCTTATTAATACCAGGTGATTTATTTCCCTCTGAGGTAAGAAAGTGTGTAAATAAAAAAAGTTAATAGTAAAAAAATATCTTCTTTTTTTTTTTAATATGAACGAAATTTAACCATAAGTACGGGTTCTCCACACATCTCGACTCCTGCGCGACTCATCGGCAAAATTTTTTTGTGGAGTTTATCATTTACATGTAAGTAATATATGTACGGTCAGTGTCAAATGTAAGTGAACACCTTGTTCTAATATAATACTCACAATTATTTTCATGATTTTTTTTTTTCATTAATTATTTATATATAACATTAACCATATAAATCAAAGTTTCACACTTTATATAAAGTTCACAAAAATTCAAACAACTTTCATTAAAATTTCAAAACTTTTATTCAGAATTTGTACAAAATTTTCGAGTATGCAGTTTTGTAACGCTTGATTAAATTCAGGGTATGCAATTGCTTGATTATTTTCAACACATATTCGACATATGTGACCTGGTCTACGGAAAGGGGGCTTAGGTGTCAAAAAATCAATTTTCACTTTTTGGTTGATTCGGATGGAAGATGAGATGCTTTTTCACGTGGTGAAAAGCAGAAAATCCTAACTTGCTTAGAAGTACAAAAACGTCACTTCTTCAGTGTTACTTTTTTAAATGTTCCACACTAGCAACTTACACGATGAACTATAATAATATTCCGACCAACAACAACACTTACTGGACCAACAACAACACTTACTGGACCAACAACAACACTTACTGGACGTCCGGCGCGGAGAACAATTAACGAGATAATGAGAAACTGACGAAACGAGTTGCTTACTTTTAACAGCTTTTTCACAGAAAACTAGTTTTCGCACGTAAGCTCCCTTATCGTAGACCAGGTCACATATAAAAAAAATCCCAAAATTTTCATCTTTACACATTCATGTTTCTGGCATGCGGGGGACGATATGTACATGCCGATTTCTTTTACAAAAATTATTTAAAAAGCAGACGTCTCGGTTGCTCAGCAAACCGGTTAATCGTTTCTGCAATTATTTCACATTGATTCTCTAAAACACATTTTCGATGTATTCTTAAAATGCAGAAACCTAAAGGTAAATTTTATAGAAAATTGAAGTAACAATTTATTAAAACTAGTAGTAACCCCCGAAATACGGGTGAGTACTTAGCTCAAAATTTATTTAAAGAACTTCGTGAAAGACAACAATTAATCTTGTATTGCTAGTGTTGTTCCGATACGAGTAACTACAAGTAATTACTCGATACTTTCTTCAAGTACTGAGTACTTTTTGTACTCGAATCCTTCCCGCAAGTACTTAGGTGGGTATCGAGAACGCGATTAAAGTATTACTTGCTTTTCCAAAAATTCTGAATTTCGGTTCTGACAATATATGAATCATGCTGTTGTGGTTTTTGCACCATGTTAAGTTGGCTAATAAAGAAAGTGTAAGTTCCTGCTTTCCCGTACAAGGCAATTATTAAAATTTTGCAAGATACAAACTTGTGGCACCTTTTTCGGAAAGTTTTGGTCGGAGAGTACTCGAACCGATTCTGTTTTTCTTCACATGACATAAGTGTTTACACTGAGTTCGATATGAGTAAGTATCGAGTACTTCTCTCCGATACATTTGTGGCATCGATACTTTTCTTCAATATTTTTAAAGAGTACAGGTATCGAGTACAAGGTCGTATCGGAACAACACTATGTATTGCTAGACACCTGATAACCCAGGATAATTTTTAAGTTCTTAAAAGACATTACTCTACTCTAAGCTTCGTGCAGTGGGCCATGAGAAAACCGTTATCTTTAAGATATAGTCCAAACTTTCACAATATCTGGTATTAGTCTTAATCTGAAACGCAATCATTGAAAATTTGCGCCGTTTATGGTGAAAAACGTTTAATATCACACTTTCAAACTAAAGCTTTCTTAACCCTAGAAGCCTAATCTATTTGGGAGTAACGTAAGGCCTTAACATACGCCTTAGAGGCTTATGTACTTAAAAGATAACCTGTGAGCTAAAATATACTTAGTCCTGTCTTATTTTTTTAAAGAATATTGAAGTTGTGAGTTTGACTAATAATAAAACATAGTTTTATTAATAAAACTATAACCACATTTATTTAAAACAACAAAATAAAAAGTAAATTTTGTGTTAAAATTAAAAAAAGACCCATTCCGTATACGCCTTGCAGACGTAGATTATACTTTTGGGGTTAACCCTTTCAGTACAAAAATTCAACCACTGGTCTAAAAAATTTTAAATATGTATACCGGCTAATTTTGGATCGTTCATTTTAAAAATCACAAACAAAAATGTGTAAAGCTTTGATGTTTGCGGCCATTCAGGGTCTTTTTTAATGGTCAGTGATATCCTAGGTGTTTAAAAAAAGAAAGGGATCTCAGCTATTTTTATTTTTTACTTTCGTGAAATATATTTCAAAACTATGAATAATACCTAATAACTTTTCCGAATCTCGATTCCACGGAAATATGATTAATATTTTTCAATAGATTATATTACTCACTATCGACTTTTCTGCCGCTTTTTACTTTTTTGACAAACACGGTCAACTGCAACTGCAGCTTGCACTTTAGTTTGATATATAGCTCAATTTTGTGGCTGCTACAGATCGGCCTAACTAAGTCGTATGACTGAGCGATTATATATAGATACTAAAGGTCTGAACTACAAAACATAGCGACATGTAACACATCATGCAAATGCCAGTTTATATCATGCCGCTTATACATGTTTGAAAGTGATATATGAAGACACTGCCGAATGAATTCAAATCAAATCATGCATCAAATTTATGCATGTCAACAAAAGGAACACATGCGACATATTCAACATTATTATTTACATTGTATATATCTACGGGAAGAGATTTTCCGAAATTTGCAAGCTTCTACTATTAATTTATTAAACAATTATCTAATTAAAAATCTATATACATTTTCATACAAGGCAGGATTAAACAGTATTAAAAATATGCTGCAGAAACACAACAGCAAACAACAGCTGAGCTAAGAAGCAATGACATGCTATAACTATATGTTTGAGATGGAATGGCATGGCATAGAAATGCATGAAATTTTTGAAAATGACCCCTCCACAAAAAAAAAAAACAAATCAAAAAAAACAACAGCGATTTTTAGCGACTTGAAACTGGCACTTTGTTTTACTAAAATTGAACGGGCTACAAAACTGCATACTCGAAATTTTTCCAGAAATTCTGAATAAAAATTTTGAAATTTTGAAGAAAATTGTTTGAATTTTTGTGAACTTTATATAAAGTGTGAAGCTTTGATTTATATGGTTGTTGTTATAGAATAATCTATATTTTCATAAATATTTAATGAAAAAATTATTTCTTGAAAATAAGTGTTAATATTATATTAGAACATGGTGTACAGTTACATTTGGCACTGACTGTAGATACAACAATTTATTATAAGAAAATCAAATAAATTTACTTGTCCATAGTTTGTCTTCATGCGCAGCTCTTTTTGGGAAAAATGAAGAAAAAAGCGCAAACTCAAACTCAAGCTTTGAAAATTACATGTTTTTACTTTTGTTACACGAATTAAATGCTGTCAACTATTATTTTCTAAGGGATAAGAGCGAAATAAAATACAAATACTCTCCCTTCTCACTCACTCGCTTTGCGGTATTTGCATAACTATTGTCTCATTATTGTCTTCTAACTTAAACAAACTGTATGGATTAGAGTATAGATGCCCAGATCCGCACATACATTTGTGTCGCGGGCGACTGCGCGTGCAAAGCTGTGCACAGACAGCTACGCGTTATCGGAAGGGGAAAACGAAGTCAGTAGAATAGTGAGATTGTATGTGTGGCAAAGCAGTTGTTGCAGTAATGCCAGAAGTGAGCGTACCCAAACGTTTACCGAAAATAACTCATCAGGTATTTGGATATTGGAAATTTCGCAAGCCTAGTAGGAAATACCTATACAAATCTGTGTTCGCATGGAAAAGTAACTTATGTCGTAAAGCTGGCTTTAGTATAATGAACCATTCGCAGCATATGTACGATTGCGAATAACTCACTGGCGCTGAGCCGTTGACGAACTCTTTTCAAATAAACGTGAAATAAATAGTTCCGATACCAGCAAGTCAATATTCTTATTAAGTCTCATCAAAAAATTCCATGTCGTTTAAGAATATAGGGACTGGTGCCAGCTAAAGCCAGCTTCCCGACAGTAGTACCATTCCATACCAACACAGATATATTCGTCTACAAAACATGTTGATTATATTAATTAAATCCCTAGATAAGTTTGTGAATTTTATCATCTTATCATGTTTCTATGTACATATGTGTTTTTTAAGCTTGGTTTCCAATCAATCAATATTCTCGCCAATTAGAACTTTTGCTTTAATAGAAAAATATACATAGTTCATTTACTTAATACTGTTTGAGCATGGATGTGCTCAGCTTACTGTTACAGTATCGGTCATATCTATAGCACGCCATTTCGAAGTGATATTGTGTGCAACTTATGTTTATTTGTTTATTTTTGAGAATTTTCAATTAAAATACAGTTCTTTCTCTAACAAACCCCATATAAATCCAAGTTTAACAATTTGTAGAAAACTTCAAAAAAGTGCAACAAATTTCACCTAAGTTTCAAACTTTTTTCTCGGAAATGTTAGAATTTTTTCGAGTACACAGTTTTTTAGCCACCGCAATTTTAGTCTGATAACGTGCAAATTTCAAGTGGCTACGAATTACCCTTAATTTTTTAGAATTTTTTTTTGTCGCATTGGCTTCCATATAATGAAAAAACTCAAATTATTTGTATATGGATGAAAACCGCAACACCTTTGGCGAAAAAAATTCTAAAACATCAACGGTAACTTTCAGTCACTTGAAACTTGCACAT